CCCCTGAACTATTTGCCACTTGCTAATTTTGGAGGCAACATTTTCCACAATCTCCACCTTGACATCAAAATTAAGCAAGTCATGCTTTACGATAGTCAAAACCTATAGCTCATCAAACTCTAAAACTTCCATAAGAACCTGCAAAATTATATAGAGAAAAATTGTTTCCGAAAAATAAATAATACTTCCTCCACCTACGAGCCTTCAGGCTCAACTGCGATCAGAAACACCCACCATGTCCAAACATAATTTGAACTTGGCTATAGGAAGACTTTTATTGAACATATCAGCGGGATTATAATCTGTATGAATCTTGTCCACAACACAATCGCCTTTTTCAATGATATCCCGCACAAAATGATAACGAATATCAATATGCTTGTTCGGTCATGAAACATTGATCTTTACTCAAGAAGATAGCACTCTGGTTGTCACAGAAAACTGTGGTCACCTTTATTCTATCATCGAGTTCTCCAAATAACCCCTTTAACCAGATATCTTCCTTAACTGCTTCTGTAATTGCCATATACTCTGCCTCGGTAGAAGACAGGGCAACTGTAGACTGTAACTGGGCTTTCCAACTAACAGCACAACCATTTAGAGTAAACACAGATCCTGTAATTGATCTTCGTTTATCCAAATCTTTGCCATAATCTGAATCAACATATCCGAACACCCCAGTGTTAGATTTACCAAAACTTAAACACATAGAAGACGTACCGCGCGTAAATAACAAAAAATCCACTGTACTACTTCCAGTGTTCTTTCCCCGGGTTCGCCATGTATCTACTACTAACCATGCTAACAGCATAAGCCAAATCAGGGCGCGTGCAGATCATAGCATACATCAAAGATCCAACAGCACTAGAGTATGGAACACGTGCCATGTAAGCCATATCAGTCTCATTAGTAGGACTCAAAGCGGATGATAGCTTGAAATGAGCTGCAAAAGGTGTGTTGACAGACTTTGCTTCGTGCATACTGAAGCGTCTTAGGACTTTCTCAATATAACTTTTCTGAGAGAAAGATGCAAGATCCTAGACTTCCTGTCACGAATAATTTCCATACCTAAATCTTTTTGGCAGCTCCTAAGTCTTCATTTCAAATTCAGCTTTCAACTGGTCTTTTAACTTCTGAATCTCCTTCATATCTTTTGCTGCAATCAACATGTCATCCACGTACAAGAGTAAGTAGATCTTTGAACCATTGTCACCTTTCTTAAAATAACGCAGCTATCATAGGTGCACCTGCTGAATTGTGACTGGTCATGAAAGAATCGAAACCTCTTGTACCATTGTCTAGGAGACTGCTTGAGGCCATAAAGAGATTTGTTCAACTTGCATACGTAGTTTCTCCTTTCCAGGAACTACAAAACCTTCAGGTTGTTGCATAAAAATCTCTTCCTCAAGCTCACCATTTAGGAAAGCTATAGTGACATCAAGTTGTTCTAACTCAAAATCGTTAGAAGCAACCAACCCCACAATACACGAATGGAAGTATGTTTGACAACTGGGGAATAAATGTCAGTGTAATCAATACCAGGAATCTGACTGTAGCCTTTAGCTACTAACCGAGCTTTGTATCTTGGTTTATCATTTGGGTTGACAGGTTCCTTGAGCTTGTAGACCCACTTGCATTTAACTGGTCTCTTCCCTTTCGGAATAGGAACTAAATTCCAAGTACTGTTTTGCTGCAAGGATTTCATCTCATTTTGCATAGCGAGCATCCAATCATTTGAGTCTTTAGATTTGATAGCCTCGTCATAATTTGCAGGCTCCGTTGCAGACTCAATATTATCAGCAACAATAAAGCATAGGCAACCAAATCAGATTCAGCATACCTCTTCGGAGGAATAATCTGTCTTCTTCTCGGTCTATCTCTTGCAATGCTTGGAGTAGTAGCTTGTGGTTGTGAAGGTTTGAATCTTCACCAACAACATGCTCATCCGACGAAGAAGAATCTTGATGCTGATTTGTACTCTGATTAGTGGTAGGTGAAGTAGGAAGCTCCACCTCCATTTGAGCATTCTCTTTATTTGCTTCGGATGATACATCTGATGCATCTGTTCTTTTAGAAGAGTCAGCAATTGGTTGAAATATAGCAGACTCATCAAAAGTAACATCTCTTGAGATGATAATTTTCTTCAAATCAAAGCTCCATAACTTGTAACCCTTTACACCTTGATTGTACCCAAGAAAACGCATTTGATTGCTCTTGGTTCTAGCTTCCCATTGTCAACTCGTGCATACGCTGGACATCCGAATGGTTTTAAATCTGAATAATTTGCAGGTTTACCGAACCATAATTCAAACGGAGTTTTCTTCTCGCTCGATTGCTCGTGACGGTGATCGGTTGATAACATAGGAAGCAGTCGAAGCAGCCTCCGCCCAAAAAGACTTTGGCAATTTGGAATTAGAAAGCATACACCGGACCTTCTCCATAATGGTGCGATTCATCCTTTCAGCTACACCATTTTGTTGAGGTGAATGGACTACTGTGCGATGTCGAGTAATGCCTTCCTTTTGACAATAGACATTAAACTCTTCTGAGCAAAACTCAAGTCCATTATCCGTACGAAGATACTTTACCACCAGACCTGATTGCTTTTCAACCTGAACTTTCCAATTTCTGAAGGTAGAGAAAACGTCTCCTTTATTTTTTAAGAAAAAGACCACACCTTCCTGGAGAAATCATCAATAATAGTGAGCATAAATAGCTCCACCTTTGAAGAAGCAACTCGAGCCGGTCCCCACAAATCCGAGTGAACATAATCAAGTGGTCCTTTCGTTGTATGGATACCACTTGCAAACCTCACTCGTTTTGCCTTGCCATATACACAGTCTTCACAGAAATCCAAATCAACAATCTTTTGTTGACCAAGTAAACCTCTTCGACTCAATTCTGACATGCCTTGAAAACTCATATGGCCGAGTCGAAGGTGCCAAAGACGGGACTGATCTGGATCAGAAAAAGACTTTGACACAACAGCAGCATCACTCGAAATTGTTTGCCCGTCAAGAAAGTAAAGATCTGAGGTTTTTCGTTCGGCTCTCAGTTTGTCGGAACCGTCTTTGAATACCCTGAGAACTCCACCTTTACCAGCAAACTCGTATCCCTTTTTTGTCAAAGGAACTGAGAGATAACAAGTTTCTTCTTCTGAGGTCAGGAACATATCTAACATCCCCCATGGTTCGAATAACTCCGTCAAACATACGGATCCTGACTGAACTATGTCCAAGAACTGGACATGTAGTATTGTTACCCATCAACACATAGCCCTGGTTAACCTTTTCAAATGTGTAAAACCAACTTTTGTTGTGACACATATGAAAAGTACAACCAGAGTCGAGTATCCAATCACCAGTGGAATCCAGTTTATCTGAATAAACTGTCAAAAGTTCTCCAATACCTTCGACCTCAGCTAGATCGGCTTCACCCGAAGTGCTAGCTTGTTTACCATTTGCTGCCGTCTTCTCTTTTTCTTTGTTCTTCAACTTGAAGCATTCTTCAAGCACATGTCCCTTCTTGTGACAATAGTTGCAAAACTTTCGTTTGCCTTTTGACTTGGATCTGGTTCTGTTGGAAGATTGAGAAGTTCTACTACTTCTCTCGTTGTTCTTCCTCTGGCATTCAAACCTTCGGCTTTAGCATCACTTGAACCACCACCAGTAATATGTTTCATCTTCTCTTTGGAATCCAAAGCTGTATAGACTTCATCTAAAACTAGAGTGTCACGGCTATAGATAATAGTATCACGAAAATGGCTATAGGATTCTGGCAACGACGATAGTAAGAATAGAGCCAAGTCCTCATCTTCATACTGAACATCCATATTCTCTAAGTTATTTACTAACTCTTTAAATGTGGATATATGTTCAGTTAAAGAGCCTCCTTCAATCATCTTGAGATTGAACAATCGTTGCTTCAAATGCAACTTGTTTGGTAAGCTCTTGGTCATCAACAGTTGCTCCAACTTTAGCCATAAAGAAGCCGCTGACGTTTCTTTTAGAACATCTTGCAAAACATCGTTGACAAGTGCAAACGAATCTGGGATAAAGCCTTCAGATCTTTCATCTCCTTTTTCTTCTTCGGTCCATGTATCGGGCATCTTATTGAAACCCAATAGCGCCTTGTGTAAATCCATCTGAATGAGAATGTCTCTCATCTTTACTTGCCACAACGGAAATCGGGTTGTTACGATCCAGTAGTGGAATATCGTATTTTACCGAAGTCATGATTAATTACTTGATAAAATGATCCCAACGAGCTAATATCACAACCCGGATGCTCTGATACCAATTGTTGTAAAAATACGACGGATCCAAATTGACTTAAATAATATTAGCTCAATGCGGAATGGGATCAAAATTATCAAAGCGTAATAACAACACACGTAATAATACGAATAAAATAAATAGAATAGAGACACAGGATTTACGTGGAACCCAAATCGGGAAAAAACCACGGGCGGAGGAAGCCGAGAAACAATTCACTATAATTTGCAGTGTTTACAACAGGGATTATGAAAGAGATTACAAATAGAGTGGGAGAGCTAAAATACACGGTGGTGTATAAGTATATATATTTAATGCTTTTCTATATATACTTTGATTTTGGTTCGTGTGTTTATGATGAAAATGGCTTAGGCTATTTATAGCCAAAGGGAATGTAATATGAAAGGAAAAGAAAAAAAAAATTTCATCCAAAAATTGCTGCGCCTTCTAATTTGACTTGAAAAGGATGCGCCTAATATTTACCAAACAAGTTGCCAATCCATATTACCGTCCATTCTCATTTTCAAACATTTCACACTTATATTACTATTCATAGTCAAACTATGAATAGTAAATGATAAGTTACAGAAATAACCCCTGAACTATTTACCACTTGTTAATTTTGGAGGCAACATTTTCCACAAAACCTGGTAACAAGAAGAATACAAAGGCTACGTGGGCAGAATCATAACTCAATTTAAAGAAACATACCCTAAATCTTCACCCATGATTGTGAATTTCCGGGAAGGAGATCCAGGAAGCATTAAGATCCACCAAACTCTATTAGAACACTATATTACTATAATGGACTACCCTCGGGACTATGAAGGTTGCCCATTGGTACCAATTGAGGTGATCCACCATTTTCTTAAATCAAGCGAAAGCTGGCTCTCACTTGGACAACAAAACGTTCTTCTAGTGCACAGTGAACTTGGTGGTTGGCCTGTGTTGGCTTTCATGTTGGCTGCTCTTTTGCTTGACAGAAAACATTTCACTTCTGAAAGTAGGGCCCTTGAGATGGTTCTGAAACAGGCCCCACCTGATAAGTTACCCTTAGTACCCCTGCTTTCAGAATTGGATGCTACAGCTTCTCAGTTGAGGTACTTACAGTATGGGAACACTTATGAACGATGGCCTCCAGCAGACAAACCACTCAAATTAATTTGTGTGATAATGAGAATGATTCCTGATTTTAATGAAAAAGGAGGTTGTTGTCCTGCATTTAGAATTTATGGACGCGATCGGTTGTTACATCTTGATAAAACCCCTAAACTTTTATTCTCAACCCCAAAGGAGGAGTAAGAATGTCCAGTCTTACAATCAGGTAGGATATATCACCATTATGTTTCTAGGTTTACGTTTCTTATTCTGATAGATTATAATTTCCATGCATTTCAGGCAGAAAATGAGCTGGTTAAAATTGATATTAATTGTGATAGTGTATTAACTTAAATGATGATCTGGTGGAGGAGACGATTATGTATCGTGCCATGTTCAACACAGCATTCATCAAATCGAATACTTTGATGCTGAGTCGTGAGGAAGTCGACATATCTTGGGATAAAAAACATCAATTTCCTAGGGACTTCAAAGCTGAGGTACTTTTCTTCACGTTCCTCCTAGTCACAGGACATAGTATTTTTTAGTATTAATGAGATAAATGAGTAACAAATCATCTGGGATCTTTTCAGTAAGTCACTTAAGTTGTGTTCAATAGAGCACCAAACATCCAAAATAATTTCATTAACTCTTTTTATTTTTGCATTGCCTTTTCGATAGCACAAGTAAAGGTCTGGTGCGCATAACTGCTGCCATCTACACTAAACACAAGCCTTTCATATATGAGTAAATTACAAAAATGGTCCCTGTGGTTGTATGGTACTTTTGAATCAAGTCCCGTTTTTTTAATTGTAACGCTGGTCATCTCAGTAATAGTATTTAATTTTTGTTTTGGTCCATAACAAATATGAAATGACTAAATTTTCCTTATCATATTTTTTATTTATACTATTTTCTTAAATTATTATTTTAGATATTTAAAATGAATGGCCCAACCCCAACCCCACCCTCACCTCTCACACCACCTCCGTTACCCTTTTGTTTACCGAGCACCACTATCGGTAGCGATTGTCTTTCCGATAACCATCATTTTCTCTAACTCTATTTCTATATCTCTAAAACCATACATTTATTTACCTGCTCTCGAATCTGTTTTTGCAAACAAAGCCTTCTCCATACATTTATTTACCTCCAAAACCTTCTCTACCTCCTCTATTTCTATTTCTATCTCCAAAGCCATACATTCATTTACCTATTCTCAAACCCGTTTCTGCATCCAAAGATTATTTACCTGCACTTGAATCGAGTTTTATAAAACGCATCAGAAGACTTGCTAATCAGTTCTCGAATGGAAATTCGCTACCAGTGGGCTCACACCACCACTGGTGCAGTATCGTCAACAGCGCCACTGCCTTGCACTTTTATCCCTTGCCACTATCGCAGCACTGCCACTGCCACCAGTGCCAGTACCTTGTGCTTCTATCGATCTCCCAATATTTCCCTTTCTCTATTCCAAAATCTATGTAGAACTTCTTTCGTTTTCCCGGTTTTTCAATTTCGTTCGCAGTCGGTGACCACAGCCCACCTTCTCGCCATCCTTCCTCGTTGCCACCTACTTTCTCTGTGCCAGTGAAAGAAAATGACAGAGAGTTTCTGGAGGAGGAGAGAACGCCGATGATCAACATTCACGAAGGTTTTGGAGCGGAGCAAAGTCACATAGTTCGTGGTACGGTAACAAGGAACGGGAACGCGATTCATGGGGTTGATCGTATCGGGGACAAGGGGGGTAGGTTCATTTCGATACGTGTCCGGTACAGTGTATCATTGGTCCCGATACGGTGTACTTGTTTTTAGAACACATTTTTAGCACTAATTTACTTATAAACACAATTTCCAGCAACATATTTCATTTAGAAGCAGAATTCCAGTAATAGTATGTTTATAAACTCAATTCCAGCAACGTATTTCATGATTCCGTAATTCATAATACCAAAATACATGGATTATAATGTTTACATGCTGGAAATCAAAAACAGAAACAGTTTTCTAACCACTTAAAAACAGAAACAGGAAGAGTAAACAAACAAAAATAAAAACCTAACAAGTCAATCTACCCGTTGCCTTTTTCCTTGTCCATTTTCCACATTTTCTTCATCTAAATTCTCCCAAATCATGTCATCTAATTGAGAACTTGAGCCTTCAATGTAAGTGCTTTTGGGATTGATGTCCCACTTTTTGTGTGGGCCGGATT